AACAAGGCAGCAGATACAGCTTTCAAAGTTCCAGAAAGCTTTTAACTTAAGCAAGAGCAAAAAAAAACTGACTCTCAAAGCCAGGTCAAAAGGAAAGCATCTACAAATTTTTTAACTGAGCCTTTCTGATCTGAGCTGCAAACACAAAATTCCTTTACTGCACTGAAAGTCACTGCAGCACAATAAACCAGTTTAAATGAAAAGACCCTCACCCTAATTTCTGTAACCCCACAGTCCAAAGTTAACCTGAAACCAAAAAGTTCCCACAAGTCATAAAACAAAGCTACTAGTGATGGGGAATTAAAACTTTTCAGCTGCATAGGATTATATTAACATGAGAAAAAAAAAACCACAACCTCACATTAATGTGCCCATCTACACAAATAACAAGTTTATTCATGTGTGCCAAACTAAAACGTAATCTGTCATTTAAAGCAGAGATTCATTTTTATTTCTGTTAAGATTACAGTACGTCATCTCTGCACTTACAGAACAAGCTGACCTACAACATATTTTCTGTAAGGTCGTATCTAAAAAAAAAACAGAGCATTTGAAAAATAAGAGGCATCTCTATTATTCGACAGTCATCATCTGTCAGAAAATAGAAATCACACTAACATTTTTAACATTCTAACATGGCCTAAACATTTTTTACAAGAGAACAACAGTGCACTTTTCAGCATTTCATACCACGAAGGTAAGAAATTCCAGACACTTTAAAACAAATCAGGTTAAGAAATAAGCCAATTATTAATTAAGCTAACTTTGTAGTTTCAAGTCACTTCTGTTTGGGGTTGTGAATACCAGCAGGCACTGAAACCAAACCTACCTCATGTCTCCCCTGATGACAAATTTGCCTTCAACAAATTTACTGTGACTCAGCATTACACAAGATATGTGTGCAAAAGAACAGTAAGTAAAACTCTGATTTCGTACTAGCTTTGGACATCCACACCCAGTCAATCACATAATACTGACACACTAGTCGCATCAAGCTGAAATCCACAGGAAATTTAAAGCCTGATGATGCTCGCTCTGCCTCCCTTATCCCATTTACACCTAGTATCCCTTCTATCATAAGGTCTCAAACCCAACACTCAGCACATTCACAAAGACACTTCTTTTCCCTTCTGATCATTTCTCAATACAAAAACTAAAGGTAAAACAAGAATATACAGACAGTCAAAGAGCTGATCGTGTGGAAGCTATGTGAAAGAATTCTGCGTCTTTTAAGAGGCAATCTCATCCTGCTTCAGGCAAAAGACACATCACAACAATCTAACACTAATTATAGCATTATTATCTGACTATACTTAGAGGTAAGTTGCGGTTTGTGTGCCATCAAAAGGTGGCTTGTTTGCCAAAATGACATCTTCATGTATCAACAGGTGAATTTGCTTTCAAACATAAGCTCAGCACTAGATGTGGCTTACAATGCCTTGCTCTGAGATAAATACATTCAGGATGTTTAGCCACAGGGTATTTCTAAAAGTAGCATATCTCTTGGGTCTAATCTCAACTTTATACACAGACTGTAAAACAAATAAACTAAATAAAGGTCTGTGTGTGTCACAATGGTTTGTTTCTCATGGAACATATGAATCCTCTCGCTGAGCCTGGTAAGCGGTCTGAACAACCAAAAAAGAGAAAAAGAATACTTACACTAGATCATAAGTAAGTTTTTGGCAACTAGTAACTAGCTAAATCTTATGGCACACTCTATTACTGATTATATGCATCCAGGAATGTAGTCATATTTCTTTCAATTCTAATGCCTTTAGCTTCTGCTTCCTCACAACACCAAGCATTAATTATGTTTCAAGAAAGTATTCACTTTATCCCAACTTAAAATTTCTTCTGTCACTAAAATCCATTTACTCCTGCCTCACAAGAATGGATCAACAGAAGCAACAATGCAATGTCCAAGCTACCATTACTTCCCACCCCTTTTTCATACCCTCCTACTATCAATATCCTTTTAAAATTAATTCTGATGAAATTTACTGGCTGTCACGTGCCTTCAACTACCTCTACTTTTTATCCACAAAATTCATTATTAAGGCTGGACAACATTTAATGCAGTTAAAGACATTCACGACGTGGTACAATATAACATCCAGTCCTACTGTTCTACAGATTTTAGATTTAGCAGAGGTTTTCCACTGAGTGGTTTGTTTAAACTTACCTCTGCTGGTTTTCCAGAGCTCCTCTCCCTTCTTCAAAACAACTTCAAGGTACTGATATTTCTACAGATGGAATTTTATCTTTTCTTCAAAGCAGAAAAAAAAAATTACTTGCTATCATATCCCTGCCCCTTATGTCTGCAATTTACATCAGCTTTCTATTATATCATTCAAACACGGGCTGTCATTAAGCTTTAGCCTCTTAGTATGAGGCTGGATAATTTTCCTGCCAGTTCAGCCTATACTCTTGTTCTCTGAGAAAAGAGGTGGTCTGGTCTTTCTAACTTGATGTTTGTCCATTACATCATTCCAGAACCTCCAGTTTAGACATTTCAGCCACTCACAACATTTCATCAAGTGACTAATTCCTTTAATGTCTTTTTTTCCTGATTTGCTCATAGCCTATGAGGCTCCGTCACTATTCCCTTTGGCCTTCAGAAGTATTTAAATGTATCTGTTAAGTTTAGCTATTTGCTGCTACTCTTCTATTTCCCCTTAGGTTTCAAATTTACATTAAAACCCTTAACCCTAATTCATATCACTTTCTTTCCCCCCCTTCTTTTTATTCTGCTATGTATTATGCTTTTGCACACGGACTTGATTCCCATTTTTCTGGAGAGCACTGTTGTACACCCATTAACCTCTCACCTCTTTCTACAAAGTTACATTTTCCAACCTAGCAACTTCTTTACAGTTGCCTTTAAAGGTATGGTTTCCTTTTGTATTCTTAAGGATAAGAGTTAAGCCCCCCCATTTGCTCCCTCTAGGACTTGTAAAACACTTCTGATGAAAAATTCCACGATCTTGTGGAGAAACAAACAGAAAGATATTAAAGCAAGCCTGACAGATACAGGACAATCTAAAACAAAACATACCATTCTGTTCACTTTAGCTTATTTAACAGAAGGAGGGAAGGAGGGGAAGAAAGAAGAGTACTGTATTGAAACAGTGAAGTGGAAATAAGACTAACAAACAATCTGCTTGAACAAACATTCCCACTTAAAAGTCTCTATAAAGAACCTTTCAGAAACTGCTACAACGTCTGACTGTAATACTTTCAGTTCTTATAAGTGTCCTTGCTCAGTGCTGCTGACATGTGCTGCTTTTCCCTTTCTAAATGACTTCTCCAGGAGCCAGCACTCAGCTGAATACACAGGACCACATAAGTAAGTTAGCTCTGAAGACAGGGCACAGAGAACATAACAGCAGAGAACAACAAAAAAAATATCATCAGATTGCACGCTGACAGCCAAATGCTGTCATCCTGGTACATCAGAAGGAGAGCTGGAGTATAACAAAGACTCTATTTAGAGGCTGGGAGGGGGGTGTCCCAAGCCCCCAGAACAGCCAGGCTTCTTGGAAGTGAAGCATCAGTGCATCTGCTTGCAAGATTATGACACGGGGAACCCATGCTGAGAAAAGCCCGTACTTCTCCTGTCATCTTATGTTACTATGCCTCAAACTACTCTTCACTTCCCTGAGCCCGTGGGTTCGTCTAAAGGGTAATTAAAAGGTTCAACCACACTTCAAGTAAAAACAAACTTGTCTTGAATGAGCTAGTTCACATGTCAATGCACATGCTGCAGTAAGAACAATTAAAGCAAAGCCAGATACACCAAAGATTAGCTTGATTCAAATTACAAATTTACAGTGTTCTATTAACTCTTCTAAATATTAACTGCCACAGGTATATTCAAAATGGCTTTAAAATAACTAGTTTATGGGGGTAAAACTGCAATCCCAGTTCCGTACAGCTCATCAAAATATCCCGACTTTGTTAAATCTTTCATCAACATTAAGCAGTGAGAGCAGAAAACATGCCAGCAAACAAAAAAATCCGGACATACGGCAGCTTGACTAAAGGATAAAGGGAGCGTTAAACACAACCATTCAGCACCATTTGGGAATTCTGCAGAAACAGCAGCCCGGTACTTTCACAGGCCATGACGTATCTTTTTAGCTTGGAGTTTCAGTTCTCGTGAAACGCCCTCATGAGGCAAAGCTTAAAATCATCGTTACGTGTATTCTTGTACGAGCAGTACAAATCGAAAGATTATGAATGGGATACGTTTCGGGTGGTTATTAAGGTCTACAGAGACATGACAGCTGGAAACGGCCACCACGGCTACCGAGAAGGCGGAAAAGCCTCATCGCGTATTAGTCGATGAGATGATGGTGCGGCGGGGATATGGGCTGATGTATGCAGGGAGAAGGAACAGCTTTTGTAACATCAACTAAGATCGCTAACAAAAAACAACCGCACAATCTTGGGAGACCCAGAGAAAAGTTTCCCTTCCTTCCCCCTCGAGCCGAGGCACTGCCGCTCCTCACACACCCTCCCCCGGCACGAAGCCCGTCCTTGTAGCATGGAGTTCTCCGACTCCCCATAGCCGCCACCCTGCCGGCTCCCCCGGCCGGGGCGCGGCGCTCCCGCTGAGCGCGGCCCGCCACCGCCACGGCCCCAGCCCCGCGGGGGCTGCCGGCGCAGGCCCTGCCGCTCCCCGGGACTCCCTCCCTCTGCTCCCGCACCCCCGGGGCGGGCGGGAGTGGGACCGGGCCGCGACCCCAGCCCACGCGCGCAGCTCCCAGTGCACCGGCTCCGCCCCGCCCGCGCGGCCCCAGCCTGTTGCGCGCGCGAGGCCCGCCCGCTCCCGCCGCCGCCGGCGGCACCCCCAACCCGGGCCTCCCGCCGCCCGGAGCCGGGCCTCCTCTCGCGCCCCGCTCACCGCCCGGCTGCCGCTCTCCACAGCTATCCACACCCCTGCCGGCTCGCCGCGCAGCCGCCCCGAAGCCGGGGCTCGCCCCACCCCCCCGTACCTGCTGCCGGCGCGGCCCGGCCCGGCCCGGCGCTGTCTCCTCTCGGGCCCTAGGCGCGCGAGCGCCGCACCCTCCTTTCCTGGCCGGCGCTGGCTGGCGACGGCAGTGCGCACGCTCGCAGCCCGCTGCGTCGCTTCCGGCCCTCGCCGCAGAGCCCTCTGGGAGGCAGAGCCTTTCCGGCGGACCCGCAGCAAAGGCGCCCCCCTCAGGACGGCGGCACCGGCGGGCCCGGCCCCAGGGATGACTACAGCTCCCGGCATGCCCCGCGCCCTCCGTGCTGCCGTAGACCCGGTGCACCGCTCCCGCCGGGACGGCCGCGGTGCGCCGCCGGGCATGCCGGGAGTTGTATTGCAGCAGGTGGCGGGGCTCGGGCAGACGGGAGGACATGCCGGCTCCTTGCCTCAGGAGCCGGGCGTTAAGCTGCGGAGCCCTGCGGCGATGGCGCAGCGGCGTTAGGCCGTACCGTGCTTCGTGACCGGCAGCGGTTAAAACGGACAGGGACACCCCGTTCTCCAGGGGTGTTTCCAGCCCGGGATGACCTAAGGAGCTGATACTTCCACTTCAGTTAGTGCTCCCGCTGTCGTGTCACCACAAACCGCGTCGCAACAAGCTGCGCGCATTGAAGGTGCGGTGGAGAGCGAAGCCATTTCGCAGTTCCACAGCTAATCGTAAAGCGCAATGCGGCGGCGTGGCGGGCACGCGTACAGCGGGGCTGCAGGGCGTATAGTTAGCACAAAAAAAACACAAGAGCCACTGCTCAGCGATGTTGAATGCTGAGGTAGATAGATGGTTTAGTCTGTGCGCTAAAACCTCGTTTGCACACCCACAGAGGAGCACAAGGAGATAATAGTCGGGGGACCCCAAACAGCACCCTGCTGAGCTGCTCCCAGGCCCATCCCAGGAGCCATCAACCCACCCCAGGGGCACCGTGGCAGGTGGAAACCCAAATTAAGCACTCAGAGGAAGGGACATCCTGGGACCCTCTCAGGGGACCCTCAGCTCCAAAGTGACTTTAGGGCTGGGGGGTCACTGTGTTCAGGGCTGGGGGACACATGATGGGATACAGGGGAAGAGTGGGGATTGCACAGGATTCATAAGGGTGTGTTCACGGGAGGAACCAAAGACAGGAAAAGGATGGAACTAGGTGATGCGTGCAGAATCAAGTGTGGGAAAACAGGGATATGGGACTGAAAAGGACTGATTGCATGTAAATGGTTTGAGGTGGTTTGGTCATGTCCCGTGTCGGTCCCATCTTCTCATTAAATTCCTTTTGCACGCTGCCCTGTTTTCCTGTATGGGTACATGCATTTGTATACATATCATATGTACACATAGACATTGATGACATACAGGACAGACATATATGATATGCATGTCAAATACATAGGTATATTTCATAGGGTGTCTATATAGCGCAGCATTTTTACCCACAGAATTGGGATAAGGGAAATTAAAGAAGGCAGGCAACAGCTTTCTCCCAAAGCATTTGCACCAAAAAAAAATAACTAAAACACTTTTCCGTCAGAGATTTCAGGCTTCTCACATCCTACCAGTAAGCACATCTGTACTGCAGCAGGAGGTCTGGTTACAGCACTGGTTGGCATTCCTGAGATACCTTGAATTACATTAGCACAGGTAAGGGCAGCAGCTGGGATCTGCAAGTCCTCCTGGTTTTGCTGAGAGCCTGGTTTCAGATGCAGCTGAGCTAATGCAATGGTGTGCCGCAGGTACAAGGATGAAATTCATGTTTCCCATTGCCTTCACTCTTCTGCTCCCTTCTCTCTACCACATACACATTTTGAGGCACAGTGAACTATATTCATTCTGCATCTCTTGTAACCCCCTGCCCTAAAAGGCCACCACAGATGGTGCCTTTTTGGAGTATAGCCATCATCTGCAGGTGAGGATTTGCAAAACTTGAGAGGTTTGTATTGCATCAGGCTGCAAGGCAGAGTACCCAACAGTGTAAGGCAGGCCCAGGGCAGGCTGCTTGGGTCTGTGTGATCACTGGGCAACACAGAGAAACCATAAAAAGTACTGCCAGGGTTCAGACTGTCTGTAAACACAGAGATCTAAATCCAGCTCCTTCTGAAGCTGCAAATAGTTTAGTAATCTGGGTCAGTTCAGCGGGAGGGAGTTTACTCCTCACCAGTAATACAAACTTTTGAGAAGTTTTATTTCACATAAAGTGAGGCACACAAGCAGCGTGGTTTTAAACACAGTCTAAAAGGATGATGACGGTGTTGAAGGTTGAAGAATGACCCTGAACTGACTGGGGGCAGGAGAGAGGGGAAGTGGACAGGGTAAACAGATCAGTGATCATGTTGTGATTGGGTGAAATTTGGGTTTAGGCATATTACCACTGGCCCATTTTCCCCAGTCCAATGGGATGACAGAAACTGGTATCACGATAGTACAGCCCTTTCTAAAAAAGGCCATGGAGCCAGACTGCTAACCATATTTAGCACTACTAAATTACAATTGGCACCAGCAAGCCTTGGTTGTCACCTGCTGACATTTTGTTCAGCCCTAAAAGCAAAACCACAGTTGTCTGCACTGTTTCAAATTATGAGAGTCACTGGGGCCTCGCAGATAGAGAGAGAAAGGGCAAAGTAACCAGTTCATTGTGACTTAGGGTCTCAGAGCCACCACCACCACAGCCAAAAGATGTTCTGTGTTACTCAGGTGCTAAAAAGTGGTCACATATGGCAGCAGGTCACAAGAGGTGTCTTTGCAGGGTGAGCACTGACCAGGGAGAAGCAGTGCATGCCCTATCTGCACCCCTGAGCCCCGCTGACACGTAGTGGTTCCCATATGACTGTACTCACCATGAGTATGAAATGCTCATCATGAAACTCACCATGAAATGCTTTCATGGGTGCGCACTCAGTAAAACGTGACTGCTCTCCTTTGCTTCCTCAGGTTTGGCTGAGGAAGGGTGACACTGGGAGCGGTACCCTTCAGGCTTCCTCCCAGTGGCTGGTGGGACCCTTTCACTGTGCAGTGGAGGGGCTGGAGCTGGGGAGTATCGTAGGGTCCCAGGAGTTGGCCAGGCACATCTGCCTGGCTACTCAGCTCTGCACTGTTGCCGCTCCCTTTCTGCCCACCCCTGCCCAGGCAGAGGAGAAACCTGCCATCACTGTCTGTATCAGCTTCTCGTGTTGGTGATGATGGGAGCATGGGCATGGTGACAATTCTAAGAGCAGAAAGCACAGACTATTGTGGGCACCAAAGGGAGTTAAGCTGTAAAGGGCAAACCTCCACCAGAGAGTGACAGGGAGCTGATACAGGGCTCTGGGAAATGGTTTGATCTTTTTCTTCTCATGGAGGGGACACAGAATGTTACTGGTTCTGCTTCTCCCATCTGTGTGAAGTATCACTCCAGAAGTGACAGTGTTAACAAATACAGTGCAAGAGACTGCTCTGTAAGCTGAGCTACACAGTCACATGCACGGGGTTTTATTTTTAACATCCCAAAACTACTTGTTCTGTCTGGGCTTGCTCTGTGCTCTCCCATTCTCTCTTCTTTCTTTGCTTGCAATTCTCCATTACCCACCTCATTTCAACCCAGCTGAGCACAACCAGGAGAGCGAGTGTTTGATACACACACAGGGACTCTATGATTAAGGTAAGGCTTTGTACATAGAGTTGGAGTCTTTATATATAAATATAAACCTATATTTATAAGGTCAAACCTTATGCAATGCAGTGGTTACTGTATTGAGATATGAAAATCAATACATCCTCAAAACAGCCCTAGTAATTAAGAGGAAGTAGAATAATCAGACACGAGATGTCTTAAATGACACCCTAAAACAGAGGAAGCTGGTAACTATGAATGCTTCTGTGACAAGCTACTCTTAAAATAATAACAAACTCCATCATGCATTCAGTGGATTAGCCATAGTTTGCAGCGCTGGGGTTTTAAAAGACTAAGAATCTGATTCTATGATGAGAGCTTCAGCAGCAGGATAGATAAGAAATTGAAACTTCTATTTCTGTAATTTCCAAGAAACTCTGAGAGAAGTAGAAAAAGGAAATACAGTAAGGGGCAGAGGAGAGGCAAGAGCAATCTTGTGGCCAAAATGCTAAAACTTAGATCTGGTGGGTTTTGTAGATTCAGACTGGAAACTTTGTGTTGGTAATCCAGACTGACTGAATGATGGTGATGTAAGATTTACAAGGGTTACAGGTACTACTGTACCATTTAGAGTTGTGGCTGCTTAGCAATTTTTATTCAGGAATATTTTCTCTTTTGTTTCTTATGACTCAGACCTTCACCAGTAGCTCTGAAATTCTCTATGCTGGGCACCTGCCTTCGGCTGGGTTTCTTTTGTTTTGCTTAAAACTATTGACTTTATTATCTCAAGAGGTTTTCAGAAACATATGTTAATGAAATTGTTACCAGGGCATAAAACAGAACCTGAAAAAGAACCCTCATACTGCAACTAAACCAGAGGCTGTTATTTTAAAGCACTTGCTGAACTCAAACCAAACCCAAACTTATTTCCCAGCTATCCATGCAAAGTGAGTCTGCCAGCTTGTGTCTCTACCAAGGACAGCACAGGGACCCCTCACACATACAAGGAGCAGTGGAGCAGCTCCATGTCACAACCTCCCCCTTTTTCCCATCTTGCCTGTCTCCCATAAGACTCCCCAACATGTCCAACACAAGACCCTGCTGCTGGGCTGCCCTGCACTGAACCTCAAGCCCATGGGACCACTTCAGCATCTGGAAGTCTGGGGTGGGTATGTCTTAGGTGAGCTATGGCTGCATTGCACCAGATAGGAAGAAGCAAGTAATATTGCTCATAGGAGGGAGTGCAGCGTGGGATTTCTAGCAGCAGTGCCCTGTGTAACCTGTGCCTCACTACTCTGAACCCTCCCCTGCTCCTCCTTTAACAGCACTAGTGCAGTTCACTGGACAGAAATTGCACGAGCAAGTTTTACCAGGTGAAGGGGACTCCTGATGGTGAGACAGCTTGTCTTGAGCTCCGTGGTCCTGCCTGCCAGGTTTAGGGAGCTGAAGAGGAGCTGATGTGCTGCTGTAAAAAACTGAGCTGCAGGTGTGCTCTGGAAGAAAAGCAAGGAATGTTGATTGAAGTCTTTGCCATGCTGATGCACTACACTGTGGACCTACTCCATCCCTGTAATTTTAAAGCATATTTTTTCCACTATAAAGCAATTCCAACTCATTCAATAATTCTGAACTAGTGGTTATTGCCATGAAACACCACAGCCTCAGCCAGCTAGAAAATGCAGAGTATGTCCCTAATTGTCACAGCTTCATCCTTCCAACTTTGGGTTTATCTGGGTCAGTTGTCTCTCAGAAAACCTTTTCACTCTGCATGTCTTACACTGAGGATTTGAGGATGACCAGGAGGACTGCCCTGGAATCAAAGCGGCCCTATGAAATCCATGTGAACTTGTTCAAGGTCTGAGCCTCAAAGGAACTGTCTTGCACATGCTTACTAGAAGGTTATTAGTGTTATTGATAGGGATTTAATCTGTAGCTTTTTTTCTCCCTTTCCACCTGCTGAATATGGTGTACCATATTCACTGCCTGACGCATTTAAAGCTTGGTTGGCAATACGTATACGCAAGATCAGTCTGAATGGCAACTGCAGAGCAGGTGTGCAATGAAGGTGTGCCATGGAGGACAGTGACCCACTCTGCCTAACACCAAGACAGTCACTCAGGCTGTAGCTGTGCCTGCTGTGGGTGTTGAGATGTGGGGCTCAGTTAGCTTAGGGGTCACTGTGATTCCAGGTGGTGGCATTCTTGGATTCACTTTTTATTTTTCTATGGAAGGACAGGACTTCAGAAAACTTAAGCTCCCAAGGATCATGTACCAATGCCAAACTGAATGGTTTCCAACGGCGTAGTGTTTTCTTTTTCAGCTGCAAGAAATAAATATATCTGTTTAGTAAAAGGAGATCTGAGCCTGATTTCTCACTGAGGTTAAGTATGTAGTGATTGAGGAAGTGCACTGCATGAAAGGAGATAAAAATCTCTAGTTTAAGGATTTTTAGATGTTCTCCTAGCAAATATGATTCTACATCTGGCTCTGCCAGGGTGTTTGTGCAGGGAGCATACAACTGCAAGTGAAACATCAGAAGCTCAGCATCACCATGTGTGGTGTGTATATAGTTATTTATTTGTATGAAATATTATGTTCACTTTATTTTAATCTTTCTATGTTTTAATTGTACATCTGACAAATAGAAGTAGTAGTATCTTTTGACCTCAGGAGAACCCTTAGTACTGCTAAGATAAATTCATTATTGGTTGCAAACCTCCCTCAGATACTAAGATAATAAATATATTTTAAAACCCTGTAAAGAAATTAGTAATGCTGTATTCAGCTCAGGATTTACATATCATGATAAAAAAGAGGTAAACACCATATACTGGGTATAAGGATTAAAAGAAATGGAGAGTATCTTCTGTCTGCTCTGTAAAGTTCACCGAAAGTACTCCTTGAAAATGTTTTCCTGTTGTATCATCATATGTAAGTTTAATGTTTGTGGCTCCAGCATTTGGATGCAAATTTTCCTGAGATCTATTAATTGCTCCTTGTGATGTTTTAAAGCTTAGAAAGACTGTTTTCTGTTTGTTTGCAGTCTCATCTCAGAGGCACTCTTTCAGGTAATGATCTGGGGTTGCTGGTGGCCCTTTTTGATGGTTCTTTAAAATGGGAGACTTCCCTTGATTCTGTGCAAAGAGTTCAGATAATATGTATAATCTTAATATATGATCAGTCACACATAGCAAATACCAAATATGAAAGCAGTTGTGTTGTTTTGACTCACTCACTGCAACTGAATTAAATATCTATTTACTGACAATAAAGTGTAATTGATTTATTAATGTGAAGTTATTGTCAGTGAACAGATCTGCTCCAGACACAGATGTATCTGCAGCTAAAATAGCAGCTGTGTATTTTTAAACCTTACTTGATTTGCTGTCATGACAGTCTAAAAATAAAGATTTACCAAAGTGGACAGACTGTGGACTGTAATTCGCATCTTTTCTTTCCACAGTAGTTTGAGCCAGATTCAGTTAAGCATTTCTGATTTCATTTTTGTGTGTTTTCCTAACCCAGGTCTTCGGAAATTTTGCAGGTTTCAGGGAATCAAGAAGTGCACAGGTCTAGAGAAGTGTTTCATCACCCTCCAGATCTGTGTATCCCCTGCATCTGGATGTTAAGTATCAAACTTACTGAGGCAAGAATTTGTAAACTTTCTGATCTGGGCTCTGAAAGTTGTAGTTTGTGTACTGATAATAACTAACTGACATCAACTAAACCACAGGGCTAGCTAAGTCATCACTTAAAATACAGAGCTCCTGATAACTGATATTTTGGAACAGAAGCAGCATTCAAACCTTGATAAATATCAGAAGAATTCTCCGTCCCTTCTTCCTGTCCTCTAGCTTCACAGATTTGACAAGAAGAGGCAAAGAAATAATTTATCTGAAAAGCATGACATATACGAGTTAGAGATGAGCTAAACTCAGCTGACAGATACCTGAATAACAATGAAGACTGATTCTGGATATGAATGCTCTGACATGATTGGTTTTCTTAAACAAAGCATGTATTTCCTTTCTGTACACATGATGCGGATGGGGTTCATTTGAGCATACAGCAGTGTGAAGGCAGGCTCCATGCCAGAAACTTTGCAGTCAGTCCTTTCTGTGTTTTGGAGAACCGTAAGGGCTGTGCCACTGGTGTATTTTTATTTATCAATTGTTTCTCTCCGAGAGTTACTTTTGCAGTGGAAAGTATTGTTCACACATTCATGTCTTCATTGCAGTGTAATGTACCCAGCCTTCGTCTGACCTTAGGCAAGTCATAGCTGGGACTATTTTTAGAGATTATATTTGCAGCAAAATGTTACAAGAATGAGAGCAGCAAGGATGCTGCCAATGAGAAATAAATCCATCTGTATCTCCTGCTTCTCTGAGCCACATAAAAGTAGATGTGACTGAACAGCTTAAAGCAGGACAGATACCACCATAAACCCCATGTAAATCAGGAAAGCAGAGAAAAGCAGGCCAAGGAAATTAGCCTTTACCCAGGCTGCTTTCCACACTGGTAACTGGGATCCTGAAGATAATCCTCACTCTCAGCCTTGCTGGTGTAGAGCAAAGGGAGGTTCACTTTTGTAACATTAATTTCCTTATGGGGGAATGACAAGACACGTAGGCCAAATGACCAGATAACTTTTCTGGAGAGGAAAAATAAACATCTATCCAACTCAGTGTTAAGGAAGTGGGAAGCTCCTTCACTGTACCTCTGGCAGTCTTTACTTCTACAGCTTGGAATAGATAGACCGAGTGTAAATACTGGGACAGAAAACAGCTTGCTCCCAAACCCTGGCTGCCTCTGCTGGTGTGATGTGTAAGGACCTTACCTATACCCGTGATGCTGTTGAGGCCACGTTGTATCATGGGGATCAGTGCTGATACATATGGGGCTATCAGCCATTTGACCACAGTCTTATTCCCTCTAGAAGTGCGTATGAGCACCTAATGCAGAAACCATGCATGGGCACAGAGGGTCTGTGGCCATGTGTGGCTCCTTCAGGCAATAACTGTTGTCTTCTTGTCTTTGCTACACACAGCACCGGGCTCAGAAAGCTCCCCCTGGGCAGCACAGGCACTGTGAGAGATGTTTCAACCGGCATTGTCACGCACCGATTGAGCCCTCCATCTCCTGCATGGTGATCAGCTGCCGCTTTCATTGTGGGGCCACCTTCCACATGTGCAAGGAGGAGGAGCACCAATTGCTCTGTCCCTTAGAGCAGGTCTCCTGCCTCAATTCAGCCTATGGCTGCCCTTTTTCCATGGCCCGCTTTAAGCTGGGGAAGCACCTCCAGGTCTGTCCAGCCAGCGTTGTCTGCTGCTCGATGGAGTGGAATCGCTGGCCCAACGTGGATTCAGACACAACCCTCCACAAGAACATTATGAAGGAGACCTTGAATGAAGAGTGTCTGGACACAGCCTTGGCACTCAGAGACCAGAAGATACTTTTCAGGACTTTGAAAATAGCTGATTTGTTTCCAGAGTGGAGGAAAAAGGATGAAGTGCAAGAGCTAACGGACGAAGCCATAGGGGGGGAAGAAGGTGCTGTGGGAGGAGTAGCCTGTAGTTCCCAAGAAGGCGACAACCAGTTGTCTGAACTCAGCCAACGTGAGCGTGAAGATTTGGCAAAAGACAAAGAGGGAATGGATCTGGGGAGTTACAAAACCTGGGAGAATATGTTCAGCAAAGAGCTCCTGGCTTGCAAGGTAACGGGCTCAGCAGACAGCACGGGACAAAAGACGGAGGAGGCTTCCAAGAAAACAGGGTCAGCCCCGCAAGCTGCCAGCTCCTCAGAGCAGGCAAAGGAAGTACCTGGGAGTGCAGAAGAGGCAAAGGACCAAAAGCCTGAACAAGTAACACCAAATACAGAAATGACAGGACTGGCTCCCTGGCAAGAAGGAGTCCTGGAGAGGCTGAAGAAGGAAGTTGGTGTAGGCGATTACAACATGTATCTGGTCCACCATGGGGGAATGCTTATTCGCTTTGGCCAGCTAGCTGCTTGCACTCCCAAAGAAAAAGACTTTGTCTATGGGAACTTGGAAGCTCAGGAAGTAAAGACTGTCTACACCTTCAAAGTGCCAGTTAGTTACTGTGGCAAAAGAGCACGACTAGGAGATGCACTGGGCCACAGGATGGCAACTTCAGACAAGTCAGTGGATACCTCAGAATTGGGAATAAACCCAGAAGATCTACCTAAGGCAAATATAGTTGAGGCCACACTGCTGTGTGCACTGGAAAAAGAGCTGAAAGGCCATGAGATCTCCGAAGCAAGGGGTATTGATGGACTTTTTGTGGATTTTGCAACACAAACGTACAGCTTTCCCCTGGAGCCTTTCTCCTCCAGTGCTGTTCTAGCAGACATTCTGGATGAAGAAAGCCCACCAGAACTGCACGTGGAGCTCTACACTGAATGTGTAACCAGAAGACACAACAAAAGCAGTTCAGCTTTCACATTTACTTGCAGCCATTTCTTCAGGAGAGACGAGTTCCCATCCCACTTCAAGAATGTGCACGCTGATATCCAGTCATGTCTGGATGGATGGTTCCAGCATCGTTGCCCGCTGGCCTACTTGGGATGTACTTTTGTTCAAAATCACTTCCGTCCTGAGGGTCTTAAGGCCAAGGTTATATACAGCAAACCTCTCAAATCATTTGCTATTAAGCCAGAGGTAGACACTGTCCTTGCTGAATCAGGAAAGTTCAATCCCACAGCGGCTAATCGAGGGAGAAACAAGGACTTGCTGAGCAGCCTCCCGGTGGAAGTGCTCAAGTACATTGCGGGGTTCCTGGACAGCTTCAGTTTATCTCAGCTATCGCAAGTGTCAGTGCTGATGAGGGACATCTGTGCCACTCTTCTTCAAGAGAGGGGAATGGTCCTGCTGGTCTGGGAGAAAAAGAGATATTCCCATGGTGGTACTTCGTGGAAAGCTCGCAAAAAGGCAAGTGACTGTGATGCTGGGAAAAAGACAGCCATGGGTTCTCTCCAGGTAAAACACACGCATTGCAAGGGATGCTGTGTGTAAACTTGCAGATGTGGGGAAGGTTCATGAGGTTTTAAATTTGCACCATAGTTGTCAGGGATCAGGGCTGTGAAACGTAGTACATCTAGTGAAAATAGGAAGTTGTAAATGGATATCTTCTGACTAGTGGGAATCCCTCATTCAAGCTTGTCTTGGGTAACCTTTTTGCATGTGCACTGTTTTTAGGCACTGAGAATTTCTGATATTTAAGGGTTACACATGGAGTTTTGAAGAACTTGGTATTCATGCTTTTTTTTTTTGGTTGTTCTCTACGAGCCTGTCTAGGGTATGTCTAACTAAAACATGCTTTAGACCACCAAAAAGGTAAAGAACAAGGAGCCATAGCCAGGAAAAGTGTTGGCATCAACCCCTAGAGTCTGCCTCTTGGGTTGTGAGAGCCCTGAGGAAGCAGCATGGCGATAGGAAGCTGCCCTCTACAAAGCTGGTCTGCCACTGTTTGTGCTGGGAAATTATCCCCCTTACTGGCTCTTTATGTACTCTGAAAGAAATGTATAAACACAGCTCAGTCTTAGTCCTAGTTGAACAACAGTTACTGCAGTTTGTCCCTGCCCATGGCAGGGGGGTTGGAACTAGATGATTTTAAAGTCCTTTCCAACCCTAACTATTCTATGATTCTATGATTCTTTTCTAATCGATAGCTCTGCAGCTGCTCTAACATAAAGCTGTTTAAAAGAATAACACGAGAGACTTCAGCATGGCTGAGCAGACAAGACAGAAATCTAGGAACAAATATTTTTGAGATCCAGGGAAGACTCCCAGAAGCTATCTAAGGACCTGGCTTTCAAGCAGAGCCCTGAAGATCTCTGCCTATCGATTCTTATCAAATGGAAGCTTAGCAGTGTATGACTATTTATTAAGAGAGAAAACATGAAGCATGGTGAATTCATAATCTGTGTAACAAAGTCTGGTGGCTGCAAGTTGAATTAGCCCATTCCACAACAGGAATTAGCCACTGAAATGATTTACCAAAGGATGTGGCTTCCTTCGGTAAAAGGAAGACATTCCAGCTGAGCAATTATATAGCAATTAACTTCTGTAGTTAGTGTAGCACAATTTCAAACCAGCAGCATTGAATTTGAGAACTGTCAATGCTTTTCATATTAGCTCTTTGTACTGACCACAGGAATCTTTTTTCCAGTGCAGACTCCACTTGAAAACTTTCTCTTTGTAACTAAGCCTGAATTTCTGGGCTACTGTCTATAATAGCTATGACTACTTAGGACTAGGACAGAGTCAGCCAATCTTAAGCACCGAATCATAGAATCACAGAATAGTTAGGGTTGGAAAGGACCTTAAGATCATCCAGTTCCAGCCCCCTGCCATGGGCAGGGACACCTCACACTAAACCATGTCACCCAAGGCTTCATCTAACCTGGCCTTGAACACCGTCAGGGATGGAGCATTTACCACTTCTTTGGGCAACCCATTCCAGTGCCTCACCACCCTAACAGGAAAGAACTTCTTCCTTATATCCAATCTAAACTTCCCCTGTTTAGGTTTTAACCCATTACTCCCTGTCCTATCACTACAGTCCCTAATGTATAGTCCCTCCCCAGCATCCCTATAGGCCCCCTTCAGATACTGGAAGGCTGCTATGAGGTCTCCATGCAGCTTCTCTTCTCCAGGCTGAACAGCCCCAGCTTTCTCAGCTTATCTTCATACAGGAGGAGCTCTACTCCCTTGATGCCAGGGGAGTGTTCCTTCCCCAGGAAGAAACATCTTTAAGGAGAAGAAATCTACTATGACTTTAAAAATTATTTTGATTTAATGGTATACAGCAAATATCAAAGAAATCTAATCACAGTCTTATCACTATATGCTAGCTTACCACTGAACGGTACATTGTATCACTGCAAACAGAACCAGAAGATCTTAACTGCACATTTCTATTTTTTACAAGCTTGTACGTCCTCTAGGAATAACTTTACCCTTAGATTTCCTAGGCTGCTTCTTGGGTGGGGTAACAACAGTGTTGTAATGTTAATTACTTTCAAGTTGCTGATAGATGCTTTGGAAGGCAGGTTTCTTTGAGATATGTATCACACAAGCATGCTGTAGTCACTTTGCTTTATAAACATCTGGCATCAATCACACTGTGCATATGATGGAGTTTTCTCTAGAGGTGCAGTGTCGAGTGGCCTGGATTTGCTCATGCCCTGCACTGGATTGACACCAAAAACTGTAGAAGGATACTTTCCCATTAAAAATGGCAGATGAGGATTAAAGCAGCAAAACCAGGAAGTACAAGGTCCACAACAGTACAGACCCCATTTTCACTTGCTATGCCAGCCCTGCACAATCACGTGTTCACTAGCCTGCCCAGTACAAGTGATGCACCCCCACTACAAGCATATATAGATTTTCAAACTCCTATTTTTTCCAACATCCATTCTCTCTCTGCCCAATTTCTCTCCCCTTTCCCATATTAGATCTGGCAGTTCAGCAGCCTGTTCTCCAGAGTTAACAAGTGGCAGCGCAACGACGTCGTGTGCATGGCGGAGCACCTGAAGAATTGTCCCTTCTACCAAGTGGAGCACAAGACAGACCCCGTGCTGCTGACGGGCATGTGTGAATCAAGAGAGCAGATCCAAAAGACTTTGGTTTCTACTTTCAAGCGCAGAGTCTGAACAACCTGCTCCGCCTCTGCCACACTCCTTTCAGGGCCCTTGAAAAAAAGATTTGGGAATCTGGGTGTAAAGATTGTTGCTTCCAACCCTCCGTTGGACGTACAAAAATGGTTTCTCCCCAGCTGTGTTTGAAACATCCTGCATATTTTCTTTTTGTTTTTTCCTGTATTAATTTCAATGTTAAAACTTCACCCGCTGCTCACTGATAGCACGTGCTTTCTGTTTATGTTTCCATTCCTTGCTGAATACAGCATCCCAAAAAATAAGCAATAAGGATCTGGGTTGAAAACAGCATCTTCGTAACCTTGAAGGTAGGCTGCTGTTCTTGTACCACATCCCTGAGAGAAGCAAGATCAGTTAATGTACGTAGGTCTGAAACACCTTAGTTTTGGGGTCTGAAAGCCAAGTTCTAAGAGCCCAGGTAGATGCCCTCCTGCTTGACAGACCTAGGGGCTGCTAATATAATTCTGAGACATGGGCAAAAGAGACATGAACCCCCAGAATTAAGTGAATTAATGAGAACTCCAGTGAGGACTCAGGAATTCACTGCACAGCCGCAGACCATCATTTAGGACCCCGATTCATCCAAGTGTGCCTAGTTGAGCACAAACCTAAAGCTGAGCTTTCAAACCAAACCAAAGCAGACAACATGCTCTTTGTTAGAAAAAAGTAGTAAACAGTTTTAGGGGCTCAAGTGACTTCTTGTATTTTTCAGTTAGTAACTTCCTCTGGTTTATTTCAAAATACATTGAAGCCATCAAAAAATATTCAGAGCAACTTTTAGAATTTCTTACCTACTCAGCGTTGCAGTTGTACACTGCAAGTTGTAATTACAAACAACTGTGAACAATATGTCAAAGACATACTGTTTTTTTCTGTAAAAGAAAAGGCATTCAGCAACCTATTCAGTAATGGTACAGGTAACGTTTGCTTCAGTTAAATGGGCTGGAGTATAGGATTTTTTCCCTTTTTTACAGAGCAGAAAAGTGATAAGAATTTGGTTTCCTTTTTAATAAATACACTGATTTAAAACCAGAATGTGATTGTTGAGGCAACAGATGAAAAGAAAGCAGGCATGTTCCCAGCAGTGTCTGTCTTATTGCACTATTTAAACCCATTTCAGTGGTGCTAGTTAGAAATGCCATGGTTGTGGTGGTGGGTGGGATTCCTCTGAAATCATCATAAACTGATTTGACAGCTTAAAGCCACTGCACAGCCATAGAGGCACTGACTCACACCCCTTTCTCTTTTAAGCTGGTAGCCAGGAGTGCGAGCTTAGGACATGAGGTCTGGCTTTCATCTCACCATGTCGGGCAGGAGAACCTTGCCAGGAGCTGGGACATCTGCTGGCCTGCACCACCACTCTCCTTGCCTGCGCTGGCTGGGTGAAAACTGGCCTGCGTGGATGGACACACACCGCATTTGCTATCCCTGGTCTCGGTGCAGATCTGGGATGAGGCAGCTGTGCCAGAAGGAGCCTTCTCTTACAGACAAAGGTTGCTGATGAAGCTGAGCTGAATGCTTGGTAATCAGCGTGGTGATCAAAATCACACTGAGTGCAGCTCATCCTTGTCTACACTTGCATCTTAAGTGATCCCTGTGAGATTTGTAACCATACAAGGATATTTTTCTTCTCCAGACATATGCCCTCAGTACCATACTGTCTGAATTGTGGGGTCAGGGGATTGATCCCAGGAGCAGGAGTAGCAGCAGTCAGTGGAAGGCTTAAGCCACTGCACAAAACCAAACTGGCTATCCTTTAAAGTTGCGCACAAAAAGTCACCTGTCCTCAGAACATCCCATATAACATCAGTCACCTGATATTATCACTGGTTTACACAGAGAAGTTGGCAGAGGTGAGAACATCCAGCCAGACTTCCTAGACTGGTCTCTACATCAGGATCTCATCCTTCGCATATCAGGTACCTGATTTTGAAAGATGCCGAGCACACAGCTGTACCTGCAGACCGTGGTAGATGCAAATGTACATCCAAGTATTGGGTGCCAGTATCTATGCTGGGTAGTTAAAAATGGAGCTATCCAAAATTATGGATAATTTCAGGAGTGAAAAAAAAGCCAAACAAAACAGATGCTTAAATAATAGGGTCTCAGAGTAACTCAGTATTTGAGGAGGGTGTAAGAGTCCATGAAGTTCAATCTGTGAACCATATCTCACCCGATCAGCCACTTTTCTGTAAATTGGTGTAACTGCACTGAAATTGTGTCTTGTGTTAGATAAGAATTGGGCTTGTTTTACCCTCAGTGGCAGTCTCACTGCCACTGCTGCTATTACACTTCTGGCCTCCTTCTCTTCATGACAGAGGATTTTTGTTCTTCTATCTCCTTGCTCCTGGAGATCTCATGACTTCAGTTCCAGCCTTATTACCACTGACCCTGCTTCTTCCCTGTGTTTGAGGTGCCAAAGTCAGACTACAGGGAGGATGCAACCTTTACAAACATGGTGGTTTAGGGTGTGGGTCAGCGATAGGAATATTGCAACCTCTCCCTCTTGGGATGAGGCAGGATGTACATACAACATCTAGGAGACTGGATCATTTTCCTGCTGGTACTGCTATGGGGTCTGCTGGAGAGACACAGGCTGTTAATTCACAGAGAGAAAAAGACACATTCACCACTGTGAATAGGTAGGTATTCTTCTGTAAAATGTAGATTTGGTTAAGTAACCTTCAGCGTATACAGAGGAAGCTGATAATCCACAGTCATCTTCAGGTTAGTCTAATGAACCCAATCCTGGAAGAGGGAAAGCTGCACAGGGAAGTGGAGATCACCCTTATACCAGTGTGTACCCACCTGGCAACTTCTTATCTCTCACTTAACACTAGTGGAAAGCTGTGGGCCGTTGTCCTATGCAATTTAATTAATCAGTTAATTAAAGGATGCCAAGCTAGCTCAATGTTGACAGTCCTGCTCATTATTAGAGTCAGCAGAAGCTTTGGGGAGCTGCAAGGAACTATATCTGCCTGTCCTTTTTATCTTGGTGAGCCCAACTCTGGCTTACTTGAAAGGCGAGAGGCTTTGGTTTGGGTTTAGCAAGTCCTTAGGCTCCTAGTTTAAGGTCATAACTTGACCAATGGAAAGTTAAAACTCTTCCTAAATTTCAGCTTGAAGGACTTGATTAGAAGCAACTGGACATTTGGTGTTTTTCAAAACAGGTCTTGACACTGGGGTGGAGTTTGAACTGGAAAAGGGGATCCAAGTGCAAAGAGCATTGAGGTTGCTCTCTGTCCAGATGCCATACTCTGGACCTTCATGGCTTTGGTCATGTTTGTGCTGCCCACAAGTCTCATGAAGTGCAAGAGCAATATTCCACGCGCTCCAGGCTGTCATGTTTTGTGGTCTTTCCTCTTGTTGGAAGAATGGGTACTGAAATGGTGGCATTGTGGAAATCAGAGAGGCCAGAGCAGAGCAAAAATGGTCAGGATAAGAGAGCAGAAAAATGGGAAATAGGAAAGGTAATGGGTTTGGATAAAGGACACATGCCTGGTTGTAGGTGTCATGAGGAGAGGCAAGTGGAGACAAGTAAAAGAGCACAGGAATGAAGGGAAGTAGGATGTGGAAGAGATGATGCAGTTGCAAATGGTTTAGGAAGAAATGGTTCAGCTCAACAGGCACCAGGAGGATAGGAGCGATGCTTAGGAGAGCAGAGATATAAGGGGAACAGAGAGTGTATTTTATCTGGTTTCTACTGACAAAGAAGATATTTGGGTGAGCCTGGTGAACTCACTGAAATGCAGAGTCTGTTTTGAACTGTAATTCACACAGTGGACCTCACTCTGTGGCACAGCCTCTGTTCTGGGTTAGAGTATTCAGCCACTGGATTGCTGAAACATGAGCTCAGAGGCCACCATAAAACAACAAAGGGTCAGGAATTTTGATGTTCTTGTATGCTCGTCATTTGCTGCCAGCAACAGACTTTCTGGATAACTGCTTCTCCTTGAGGAAAGCACTGGAAATTCCCTGTCCATGTTATAGAGTAACATGGGGCAGATGATAATTCTTAAGGGGTGAAAGGACAGGTAACCTACTGACACGTATAAGTCTGGACTGGAGGAAGAAATTACTTGCCAGGCCTCCAGCTCCCAAAACAGAGTGAGCACAGATGAGGTGAAGTGTAAGTGAACAGTGTTTGTTATTTTGCAAACCTCTGTAACTCCTTGCTGCTTTTATAAGAATAAAAAATATTATGGTTTAAAAACAAAAAACAAACCACCACCCAGCAAAATCCAGGTTTTAGTTTGTTTTTTTAGTTTCATCACATTCATGTTTGCTTTGCTTTCGAATCAGGTGTGGTAGGTTCTGTACCCTCATATTCATTATGCTCCTTTCCTCTGCACCACTCTTCAACGTCATTTTCCTGGTTGAAGACTGTTATTGGCATTTATTATTTATAGTTATTTTGTATCTAGTTTTAACCATTATTTTTTATTTTGACCCCATCCTCTTTGCCTAGCCGCTTTCTCCTTCCTGAGTCAGTTATTTATTTAGAAGAAAATCATTCTCTTCTTTTAAAAATTCGTTTTCCAGATTGACATTACATTCTATCTACAAATATTTAAAGAAGAGTTTTCTTTGCTGATCCCTCTCCCTACCCTTCACTTTGTGGCTATTCATCCAGGTAGTTACAGATGGATTTTTCCTTCTTTACTTGGGGTGCAAGTTTCATAGCCACTGTGCTTCTCTCTCAGACCTTCTGAGCATTTTTCACATCCAGTTTCCTTACCATTACAGTCCATGTTAAAGAGTTTTCTTAATTCCTGGGGTTTCAATTTCTTTGGAAACCAAACCTGTGTATACAGTAGAGGCCTATTCTTATTTAGCTTCCCACTTTATTTATATGTAAGGAAATTATGATCACACACTCCACATTTATTTTTGATGACCGCCTGCTGTATGACTTAATTGCTATTTACAACTAACAAATCTTTTGTAGGTTCAATGATGGTTTTATGAAGGAATTTGTCATCTGTCATGTTGAGAATTATAGGCCTAAGGCCCATGATTATCATGAGAGATTATTCTCTGGTTTATAACTCTAAAGTTAGTTTCCCTATGGCAGCATAGTTCTTACTGGGATTTATCTGTTTTAATATTAGCTCTCTCCCTGTATAGCCAGTTATGAGCTTGAGCAGGTCACAGCTGACTCTGAGCTGCACCAGAGAAATGCCTCTTTAAACTTTCTGAGTTTCATCCGAACAGCCTATAACATCATTCATGTGATGCTAATTCACTATCTTTATCTTCCTTTGTAGCAGTCCTGAACAGCAGACTATTTTAATTCCAGGGCTGACTTTTATTCTGCCATATTTCTGTTACTTGCATGATAACTAGTTTATACCTCATATTAGTTGCCCGTATTTCTTCCTTACTGAAATTTATAGGGTAGTCACAAAGGCAATGGAACCAATGTCTTCTCAATAGTAGCAGGAGATATAACAAAGAGAATTGGCAACAAGCTGAAGCTTGGCAGATTCAAGCAGAACTTCAGGAACAACTTTTTTACCAGAAGGGAAATGCAGCACTGGATCAGGTACCCAGAAACAGCAACATCTCCACTCATGGAGGGTTTCCAGACTTGGTTGGACAAAATCATGGTGACCTGACTGAGCCACAGGTTGGATCTCCTCCCACCATCACATCTCTGAGGTTCCCTGTAGTACACAGGCATCCCCAGGCTCACCTGCTTCCCTTAGCTGAACTTTGGCTACCAGTATTGTGTGCGTTTCTCTCATCACAAGTGGTATATTCTTTCCCTTGTTTTCTAGGTCCTGCCCATCAAGACCTCCTTATCTGTCATCACATAGTTATTTAGCTGGTTTTCATCTCCCTGCATAGGAAAGCAGATACACAGCCTTCTTCCAGCATTTGCAGCATCCTTGAATGCGATACCTACATGGTAAAGTTACATTTACTACCAAGCTTGGTAAATTGCTCAAGTGTTTACCAGAGCTATTCCTTTCAGCCAGGCTAATCCAGCGTGCAATTGCAGCTCTGGAGAATGGAAGGGTCCCAGCTTTAGGAGACACCTGGAGGGATTTGATTACAGAGAACAGTCAAGAGTGGATTACTGCTCTGCAAAACGAAGTCTATCACAACTGCTGCTCTTGAGCCTCCTCGCAGGCAGTGACCCAAAACCTGTTTCACAGGCACAGCACAAGCTGCAGACCTACGCAGCTCCTCTGAATAAACAGCTAATGGGCAAACCTGCTGATACTCCAGAAGAAAGCTACAATGAGTTTTTTAATAGAAATTGCACTGCTAGAAGTTTACAAGATGGAAAAGATCTGCAGTTCTGCAGGTGTGAAAAGGACAGACGTGGTTAAATGCTTTTTCTGCCTAACAGGGAACTTGAAGGTAATACTCAGAAATATTGTATATAATCAAGGCGGGATGGGGGGGTGGAAGGCAGAAGGAAGGTGTGGATGGAAAGAAGGTATATGGCACACAATAAAAGTGAGAATTTATGAGGCATACAAGGTGATAAGGAGAGTTCAAAATAATCTGGAAAAACTGGATTGCTGCAAGTGCTAATGGGACCTGGAAGGAGTTCTTTCAAAATACATTGAAAACCAAGAAATGCCAGTAATGGACTAGGCTCTTACTGGGTGCCTATAGGAAAACTGTTGATTGAGGAGATATTTGATGTAGGCTTTTTGATACAGAGAAGTTAGTCGTTTGTATACAGAAAGAAATGTAATTGTCTATTCATACTACGTGAGGATGGTAAACAACTTCCTAATCTATTTGCAAACTAAGGAAGATTTTAACAGCATCTATTAAGTGTAAGTATTTTCAGATCAGTAGCCAAGAACATTTGCATCTTAGAATCATAAAAGATTTGGCTGAGAAGGTACCTGGCCTAATGGAGTTAAGTATTTTAAAATCCTGTCATATAGAGAAATCCCAAGATCTCAGAAGGGTGTGCTGTGCTAATGTTCATAGAGATGACACCAATGATTGTTAGGTGGTTCCATAGTAATAATTACAGGTAAGAGAGTGTGAGTTAACTAACAAGGGCTTCAACAATGAAAATGACAATAACTTAGCACGTTTAAGAAAACAAAAGTGTTTGACAAAATGAAACATTCGGTTGATAAAAGCACTGGTGCAGATTTAACAAACCAAGAAAATTCTGAAGAAAAATAATAGTGTATGTATACATCATCATTTGCATTGCACGGATTAATTCCTAACAGACAAAGGGCAGAAATTCATGGTCCAAAAAGAAGGAGCAATCCCTGCTGAAAGAGTGTGCCTCTGTGCAACAACTGTGCTGGTTAATGTTGGCATCAGGAGATACAACTTGTCAAAACCAGTGTTGATCAGATTTGCAAGTGGCAGGATCAGTAGCTGAAGCAGAGGGAGTCCTTCAGATCAACACAAGTCCCTTGGCCAGCTGAACACACTCGAACAAGATAAGGTGCTCCTCAGGTACTGGACCACCTAGCTGTTGATCTACAAACCCCTATCAGTTGCCTGGCCTGTGGGAACACATAGAAGTGACCACGGGCAGAATGTAACTGCTGGTGGAAGCAGTTTTTGCTTGTACCATTTCGACTTCATGGAAAGGGAGCGCTAAGGAACCCTTGGTGTCAATACTGTCACGAACTTCATTGGCGACCGCTGAAGAAGTCGCTGTCACCCATGACTGCCAATGCCAAGTTGGAAGCCCAGCAAAGCCTGAAGCTGCAACACCTCTTGGCAGTCCAGGCATCCACATGCTTTTTAATTATGTTGAAAACTTGGAAGTGGTCCAGAGCAAAATGACAGGACCGACTGGGAAGGTCAGAAAGCACTTTACAGTGGGCACTGAACCAGTATCTCTCAATCGCACCACAGAAAATACAAAGTACTGGTGGGAGCACCAGAGTACTGGTGCACTAACCTGCAGGGAAAGGCACAGCAAGAATCAACAGCTGCAAGTTATATTTAGGCATGTTCAGAGTAAAATAAGACATAATATACTCAACAGTGAGGAAAGAAAATTAATGGAGAGATGAAAGGAATGCATTAAGAGCGGCCCTATTCCTCGCAAGGAGAAATATACGATGGCACTCGATTTGATTAGCTGCTCTATGATGTTCCCCACTGGAGTTGCTATGGAGAATTCATTATTACTGTGTCCCTGAAGGTCTCAAGCTTAATTTAAACCACAAAACCAAGTAAAGCATATACCCTAAAGCAGAAAAAGTAATACTTACTGATATACAAAGTGACCTTGAGTTACAACATTCCTTACATTTTACATATAAAACACTTATATAAAACAGAAAATGTCACTAAGAGACTAAAAGTTCATCAAAGATATACTCGATTGCATTAGAAAGACATGGATAAATAATATGTTCTGCATCTCTGGGAGACAGCCGTGCTGCCTTGCAAGGTCAAACGTGCTGTGGCCAAGTGCCATGTGGCAACACTTCCTGGCCATGTGAATAGAGAAGCAGGAATCTGGTCATCATCTGATTAGCTGCTAGGCAGATGAACCCATTATAAGGTACACTCTGTCAGTAGAAATAAGTATTAAAGCAGGTGTTCTAAACTAGTTCTGTAGGAGAATTATTACATAGAAGGCATTAAATTTGTTATGGATTTTGCCACCCTGCAAAACATAAGATTAAGTTCTTTGCACTTCAGTCAACACAAGATTACTCAGAGGCTGTGGCTGCATTGTATTGTAAATATAGACAAGCCAAAAGTTCTAATGCAGTACTGAAGGAGCAGTCATTTTGCAAACAATAAAACCAAACTCAAGATTATCTTTTCCACATAGGTTCCCCTTGTTTGATTATGCCTATGCTCATACAATTTAAGCTAGCTAAATAGATTCATCAGTCTAACCACAGTGGTTTAGGTGCACTTTATGAACATAGGTGAAGCTCAGCTTGGTACTTGCCTCAAAGAGAACATGCATTAACTAGAAGTAAAGCATTTGAATCGTGTTAGCTTCAACCTCACATCGTATCATGATCACACATTCTGCAGCACTCCCAAAGCAAACGTGGACACGGCTTCCCTAACACATCCCAGACACCTTGTTCAGTCAAAGCTGTTTCTGGAACATGACAGGCACATTACATAAGAGGCCAGACTCGACCCTGGAGGTCAGTGTGCAGAGCTTCTCCAACCACGCAGCTGCAACCTACCCACCATAGCAATTCAGTGTAAGTGTCCCTGTTGCAAGGCACCACAGTAAGGACAGGCTTAGTCAGGGTTGCCTTTTAAACTGTAGAGATGTCAGTCTTGAAACGTTTGAGAATGACATCTCTGCACACTTCAGTTCTGAGAGCTGTGCTCACCCTTACATGCAGTTGCCAAGTTCATCACAGAATCAGACTGGGAAGAGCCTTTCTTTTGTGACAGAAGGGTTTCAATGATACAACTCGCTACAGCAGGTAAAGCTGTCCTTTATAAAGTTTGTTCCCACCTTGGTACCACATGCTTAGGCCAAGAAACTTCAAATTCCACCTGTCACCCTCAGCCTCTTGAAGACCCATAGTGAAGTGCCTAATGCACAGGAATCATTCAGAGCTAAAACCCCTCTCCCATACTCCACCAGGCAGTGACAGACAGTAAATCATTCAAGCCTAGCATGCAGCAGGAAACAGATATGCGCACTGACCATAGAAATGATACCAAACTTTCCCACAACTCCCCCATCTTGGTCAGCGAACTGCAAGGAATCTCTGCCAACTGCTTGGTAGGGATGGGCTGGGACAAAGCACCAGGGCCAGCATTCATGCTCTCTGACTATACACTTCTTCCAGATCAGAAGCTTGAAGCAGCAAGCTCTGTTGCAAGAGCTTGGCATCACAGTCCTTGGTTGGATCAGCACAGTGAGCAGCAAGAGGTTCACACGTAGACACAGTAAGATGACTCCCACATGGCCGCAGCTTCTTGAAAGCCCACGGGCATCAGGTAGTTCCTCTCAATAGCTGGATACCTTTTCTCAGAGAAGGTCATCACAGCTACAGAACGGCTGCTTCTCCTCCCTACCACTGCCTCAGGGCTTCTCTCTCTAAACAGAGTATGGAATGCTGACCAAAGAGATGTCTTCACCAGTGCTGCACATTTGTTTTTCATAGTAACAGCAATCTTCTGCATTTATCACCTTCACTGACCATATATCTTTCATCTGGACTTCACTGACATGAGCAATGATAAGCTACAAGGGGTAATGAAGCTCCTGTAACATTCTGCACTCTCTCTCTCTCAAAAAACCCCAAACCAACCCAAACAAAATCAATCAAACAAAGACAGAAAGGATAAAGAGGAAAAGGGGAAAGAGAAAAGGGAAAAGGACTGGGCTTTTCTTTTCTCCAAGCTTCCAACTCTATTACAACCACCCCCTACCTTATGTCCCAGACAAAAGCAGGGGACACATGCTTCCCTCCAGAGCCTGATGTGTCACACTAAGTAAGTCCAGCTCCTACTCACTGCCAAAACATGCTCCTCCTCACAGCTCAGCTGACTCCCAGGTCACTCTCCTCTTGAGCTTTAAAACGTGGCATCACATTCACCACTTTCCGCTTTTGGCAAGCCTGGGTTACACGCTGCTCAGAGAAGCTCAGCTATTTTATTCCGGAGTTCCTTTAAGACTCTTGGACAAATGCCATTGCCCCCAGCGAGCTGTTACTGTTTGCTTTGTCAGTGTGTTGAACAACCTTTTCCACTGCTGCTTCAGTTTCAGACATGTTCATTGGTGAACCCCACCCTGCTGAAGAATGGGTCCTGCCACGTTGATCTCTTCACTCAACACTTAACACAGATGCAGGGATTCCTGCAATGGCCTTATGTCCCCTGTGGCCTCCTCTCACAGCCTGATCATCCATCTGCCCCTCAGAACATCTGGCAGGTTCCTGATACATGTCAAGAAAGATCTGGTGTTAGTTTTGATTCCTTTTGCTAGTTGTTCCTTGAAGCTTTTCTTGACCTGACTGTCTTTCTACATGTGAGGTGCTGAAGTTTGCATACTTCTCTGCTCTTCCCGTAGTAGCCAACTTCAGCTTTTTTTGATAGATGCTTTTTTCTGACTTCCTTTACTCCACTGAGCAATGCTTTCTGTTCCCCACATGAAAGGTGCTCATCCCATTTTTCATGAGCACGCCTGGTTTAGCAAGGATGGCAAAGGGTGACAGGAAGTGAATTCAGGTGATGCGAATGAAAAATATAAGGGGTGGCATTTTCGGACAGACAGAAAAAAAACAGTTGTGGTTGGTGTTGGTATAGGCCATCAGTGCAAGGCAACAGGTCAAAACTACAAAGGCTGCCGAAGCAGAATGGGAAGAAGAGAAGGCTGTTTCCAGAAGGCTGGAGATCAAGAGGTAGAGGGCAGGAACAGTGAAGACATCAAGTGAGAAAACAGGATTATGACCCTGATCCCTGGATGTCACATTGAGAGGGGGTGTGAGAAGCAAGAGGGATCAGCAACATTGCCCCAACAGGTACATTTGATGTGCTGATGTAGCGTTACAAGAGGTAGCAGAAGGGATTAAGGGTGATAATGGAGAGCAATTGCACAGGATTGTATGGGATGATAACACTGACATGTGGTGAGTCAAAGCAGTGACTGTCAGTGAAGCAGGGCAGCATGGGACAAAGCTGATGGATAACCATGAAGAGGTCCAAATCCTCCAACCCAACCAAATAGGTTGGGCCAATGATAATAAGGTGCAGCAAAGGAAGGGAAAATTACTACAAAGGCAGGAAAGACAGCATGTCATTGTTTTAAGAGACTGTGGAATAACTTCAGCCTCCTGTGCTGCAAACTGTCTGGCATGAGTCATCTTCTGGGAGACATATAACTTGCCAGCACATATTTCAGTGTCACTAGGCAATGCGGGCCCTCCCACCATAACCAGGCACCGTTCATGGGAAAGGAGGGCACAGTTTTCTTCTCTTTCTGAGTTCATTCGCCTCTGCTCTTTCCATTCAGCTCCCTCTCCTTTCCCTGTTTTCCACAGTACTTTTTACCATTTTCTTTTCCCCTTTTTCAAACGCTTCTGAAGTCATGGGTTTGCTTAGTACTGATTTCTTTATGAATTGCTGGGTTTCTCTTTTATACTTGTGTATATGCCTGAATCACTCTCACACACACCCCCCTCCCATGAAATACAATCAGCATTTTATTAAGTCCTTAGCATGAAAGATCAATTTTCCTCATCTGATAAATATGCACAGACTCATACCAGGAGGTATGCTGCAAATACTCTGAGATCCTTTATTTGCAGAGGATTTGGAAGGCAAACAGCCCTACACTCTGTGAAGTGGGCCATTTTTCAAACTGCAGGGGAATATTCTTTCTCTAAAACACTGCCCAGCAACGTCTTGTGCCTTACTCGAGGAGAATCCCTTTCTCACCCAAAAATTTGCCCAGGGGTGTAAACTTCTTGATATAGGAGATGTATCTGAAACAGCTGAACAGCCTTGAGAAAGAATGAAAAGAAGAGGTGACAGAATAGGACAGTGACTATAATGAGGAAATCCCACTCTTCTCAGTATCACCAGAAGTGGCCACATGGCTTGACTAAGATTCATGTTTTGTTGGCCAACTTCTTCGGGAAGGGAAGTAAAGGGAAGAAAAGGGAAGAAAAGCAGATATTAATCCAGATATTCTAGGCCTTTTATTTACAGGGGATAAACCTTACATTACGTCATTATAAAAGACAATGCCAAAGGTTATCCTACCACCTAATCCTTAACTTGAATTTATCAAGCTGCATCTTGAAAAAAACATGAGGTTCTTTGCATTATGGACCATTCTGGAGCTTCATATTACTGCTAGCCTGAGATCTTGAGAGGGAAAACATGAAATCTCTCAAGCAGAAGAATTAATTGAATGCTTCTGAGCAATTAAAAAGGAGATGGGAAAGGGGGGTGATGCCTTCTGCTCTGCCTTTTCAGAAGGGTGTGGTGGGAAGTGTTCCCTCAAGCCATTTGGCAATGAAATCTGGCCTTACCCGTAGAAGAAATGGGATTTATAGACTAACTTCTCTTCTTAAGGGCTTAATTCCCTATGGATCCCCTTTTTCAGCATAACTTTTGGTTTATATTCCAGAGAAGGAGACATCACCATCACCAGAGCAAAGCCAGGCAGCAAAAGCAACACGAAACCGCCAAGGCAGGAGTGACTGAGGGGTGCACCTGGAGAATTACCTGAGGCAGTATCAAAACCGGAGGTAAACATAAACTGGGTTGTCCCAACATCAGCTCTAGCAAAGCTCCAGGCGGGCAGCAGCAGGCGTGTGTGTGTCTATCAAGCAAACGCTTGCTGTGCTGTGCTAGGCTCAGAGTTTGACCAGACCCAACCCTGCAGGTGTCAGCCTCAAAACTAGTCTGAGGTGGCTGCATCTGCCTCCGGTTCCCAACAACAGGCAGGAGAGATGAGGAAAGGGGTGGGGACACGGGGGAGTCATGTGGGTGTGATAATAGTTATATTGTTAGGGCTGGAACAAGGAAATGACAGATTTCAGCTAGGGAGAACGAGGTGGGTGGGGGGAACCTCAAGGAGGCTTCATCTTGACCACTCTACTTAGTAGCTGCTCCAGAAATCAGTCCTGTAGTGTTGCTTGCTGCTGTTTCAGCCTGGAATGCACACCTAGCTTCCAGATGGGCATTGGACTTGGCTTAGTTATGCCAGTGAGTAGGAATTTTCATCTAGCCATTTCCAAAGCCCATCCTATTGCAATAGGACTGGACTGAGACTGGTATCTGAGGAGCGGTTAATCCTACATGGCTGAGTGATCCTAGATGAGACCCTGAATTTAGGGACTGTGCAGCAGAAGTAGAGCTTGAAGGCCTGTTTTCAGTGATTTTCTCATGGAGGATGGGTCACTAGCAGCAAAGGTGGCAGCTGACTCAGACACAAAGTAGTATGGCTAATGTACCATGGGGTCTGGTCACTGGGCTGCTTCAGCACCTAGACTGATGCAGCATTTGCAGGAAGCAATATCCCTCATCCTGCAATGCAGACAACAGATGGGAGGCACTACATTTTTCAGGAGCTAATTCAGGTATTCCAGCAGAGGCAGAGGATGAGTAGCCACTACCCAGGCTCTCCTCTGGGCTTTGTAATGCATTGCAAACAGCAACAAAAGAGGATTCACCTAGGTCTTCTGGGCTCTGCTCATACTGACTTCATTCTCCTAGAAAGAGAGGCTGGATTCCCTCCACACAGTTCCCAACAGGATTTGCTTAGTCATACAATACCATTTTTGTGAGCTGTACCCTGTAGTCTCTCACTTTTCATGCTGAAAGACAGAGATAACACACACTGTTTCATTTTTCCCCTAGGACTCCCTTTTGTGCCACCAGAACAGTTCTCTGCACCCACTCTGTTCCTACAAGGTAAAAAATGAATAATGCATTGAAAAGCAGCCTCCTTGGGAAGCAAAAGAGTGGGAATGCATACATGGACATACTCGTGCTGCTGTAGTATCACTGCTTGTCTGGGACAGACGCCACTGCTGCCTGGCAAGTTACATCAGCAGCAAGGGAAAAAGCGTTCAACAGCCCATTGGATTGGCTTGCAAATCCCTGCTGGCTTTTTAATAATGATCCTCTTCAGGGAGCACCACCTCTGCCTTAAGGAAGTCCGTGAATCCTGGGTAAAAAACTCCCTGCTGAAAAGCAACAGCAGCACAAAGCGTATCCTCATATCTGCCCATCTATCAGCTACTAGGTGGTGCCTCTTTGGCCACATACTTCAGTTAAACTTATAGCACCTCCACACTGCTATTCCTTGACTGTCTACTGTCTGGATTGCTAGTTTTAATGCAGAAAAATATAATCAGATGTACAGCTGATTAGTTGTAGCTAATCCAGAAATAATCATTGGTTTCTATCTTGCAAACAGGAAATTACATACACGGATATACAAAAGAATTAAACTGATTGGAGGTCTTTCAAGTAGTTTAAAACCATGTACCATTCGCTACACTTGGAATCTAGACCAGATGGGAAGAGACTTCTCTTTTTTCCCAATACAGTAAAGGTGTGTTGAAAAAAAAAAGTTGTTCCATTTTAAAATGTTGTGTGCACACAATGTGTGATCATTATCACATTCCTACCTGGGCAGATAATAGATAGAGCTGGTAAGGAAACATTTCCAATTTGATGCCGTAAAAAATGATTCATGTTTACTCAAAGGTTGTTCAGTAGCAATAAAAAGCAATCATGCATTCAGTTTGTGAAGATACAATATATAGAAGCACTGCCCAGAGCAACAGGGTGCTTCCCATTTCAAAAGGGAAGGACCTAGTGACAAGTGTCTGAGAGAAAAGGATCTTTTTCAGTGTAGAGCTCCTTGGATTTAAAATGTTGTCAGAGATGAAGCAAATATTATGAATCAAAACTTCCAGCAAGGATTTGCATGGAAGATCTTTCCTCCTAATGCAAGACTTGGGATTTCAGAAGACCATTTATCCCATAATTGCTGAGCCTGACTGGGGGTGTCAAAAACCATTGCCATCTGGTGTGACTCACCTTGATAGGTCAATACATCAAATAATATCCAGAAGCTTGTGGATGAGCAAAATGCTCAAAACACTCTTGTGGTGAGGAACATTTGAGTTATCAACAGGAGTCTTCTGCAACCTACACTAATAATTCCGTGTCACTATCTTCTGTTACACTGAAGTGTGTCTGAGGAAAATGGTACCATTTATGACTGACAGGCTTGGTCAGAAGATGGTCACTTGAATAATCTAGTTCCTTTATGCATTAGTGAAAAACAGTAGAATAAAAAGGAAAGATGTAAGTAATAAAACAACCCTGAAGAGGTATCAAATTCTGATGCTGCAAACGGAGATTGAGACTGGCACCTGAGAAGGCAACAGCTTTGTTGTTTGCATTGTTTCTAGCATTTGGGGAATCGAGCTGTAATTGTGGTTGTGAGCTGGCAATGAGTCTGCAGCACATCTCTGTGACCAGGGGAACGTAAGGATATTTACAAAGCCACGTCCAAAGCACAATATTCCCATGACTGAAGCAACTGGAAGTCACCTCAGGGCTGATAGGAGCTCTGAGGTGTGCCACGACAGTAGATAATGTATGGCAGCCTGAGCAGCAAATCGGCCTGAGAAAGAGGAAAAAGGGGAATTGCTTAGATGAGGGCTGACACAGCAGCTGGAAATGGTGAAAGAGCCAGCAAGATGTTTGTTTAATTATTTCCAAAAAAAAAACCAACCCTATGGAAAAAGTCTTCTGAAACATAAAGCAAATATTTATCTAGATGTGCATGTGCTTTAGACTGTCATTCAGATACGGCGACTCAATCCAGATGTTTGAGGTTTTAAGTATTCCTCAAGCCAAAAGAAATACAGAAATACAAGTTAGCTTTTTTTCACACCCAGCAAAAAGGACTGTGTTTCTGAACTCATTTGCAAAGATCAGTGGAAGACTGTTTAAAATACTGTGGAAATCGGAGAATGCCTAACAATTAGCACTACCAAATTCAGCTGTAATTGCTTTGTGGGTGCTGTTGAGTTAAATGAGTATAAAATGGGTATTTTCAGGGGCAAAATCATTTTTGTTATTGCATTAAGACAGAGGCACAATTCCAGTACAAGGGAGGTGGGTTTTGGAGGATGGTCCATTAGTGTAGGAAATCACGCTGATGTCAGTCAGTCAAAGAACTTATAAACATGCTCTCTATGAAGTGACTTGGTTATGTGTTACACTGGGAATTGTAAGCACCAATGCTGCATAATTGTTAGTACCTCTGTGTATGTTCTCAGAGTTTAATGCATAGGCTACAAGGCTGGTTCAAAAGGCTGATGTGCATCTTCAGGGATTCTCCAGGTCTACCTGAGTGCATAAAACAGCTTCAGGAAGAGCTCACACCCTCCACTAAATGGCATCTCCTTCTGGCACTGCCCAACATGGGATACAGAGCTGCATGGACCGTAAGTCCAACCCAGAAGGGCATTTCTAATGCTCGGAGGAAGCTGCCTTGTAACTGGCATTTAGTAATAGTAATAGTAGTAATAATAATAATAGTAATAGTAACAAACAGTAATAGTTCATCCCCCCCCCCCATCCCTCCCACATTTTTAGATATAGATTGGACATAAAGAAGAAGCTGTTCCCTGTGAGGGTGCTGAGGCACTGGCACAGGGTGCCAGGAGAAGCTGTGGCTGCCCCAGCCCTGCCAGTGTTCAAGGCCAGGTTGAATGGGACTTGGAGCAACCTGGACCTGTGGAAGGTGTCCCTGCCCGTGGCAGGGGGTTGGAACTAAATGGTCTTTCAGGTCCCTCCCAACCCATGATTCTATAATTTTGCAACTCATCTTTCATGAAAGTTCAAAATAAATCACTTGAGACGCAGTTAAGTTTAGAACTGCAGAGGAAGCGATGCTTTTGCTTTGCATTGCTTTTTGTCACAGGACGGAGCTAGAGGAAAGCTCTAAGTTGTGGCTGTAGGTTTGTAACAAGCATCTGTCACAAGGCTCTTCCTGGCACGCTGTCACTTAACTGCCAGCCTCAAAAGTTACTGCTTGCCATTTTCAAGCATGGTATTTTGCAATATGAAGAGGTAAAAGTGGCTGTGTATTTTGAGTCACTAACCAAACCATTGCTTTCTCCAATAAGGATCAAAATTCAGTGGCAGATGACTGGTCTGGAGCAGGTATTCATAAAGGAAAGAAAGAAGTGAAAACCTCAGAGAGAGCTAGTTTGAGAGAAAACCATTTGGGAAAAGGCCTGGGAAAGAGGTTCCAGTGTTCTCATGGCAGGGGGGTGTTTGGGACCTCTGGTCACTTTTGGCTTTGGGTATTCATTTCCGTGGTCTGAGGAAACACTGCAAGGGTTTGGGTAACACCATAGGCCTTGATTTTCCGGGCGCAGTGAAACAAGCTCCCACTCATGGCAGGGCCGGGTAGTTCTGGTTAGGAAACGATTCTTTAGTTAATGAACCAGCAAGGGCGATGCTATCTCATGCGGATCACTGTGCCGCCACCAGCCTTCTCTGCCCAGCCCATCCCTCTTCGCAGATCTCCCCCCAAACTCTCCATCACCCTCAGCTTTGCCCTCGGAAAGCACAATTCGGCGATTAAAGCCACGCAGGAGCCCTCACCCTGCCTCCCCAACAGGGTGCCCCGTCCGCCCGGCACTGCCTTCGGGACGAGCGCTACCAGCCCGCTTTCTGCATCACCTGGTAGGAGGATGAGGAGGAGGGACCGGCTGTTCCGCACCATACCTGGCCGGGGCAGGCTCCCCTCGGGGGCACCGGGTACTCCGCCGGGAGCGCGGTGGCCGCGCCTTGACCCGCCGGCAAGCACCCCCGGCGCCTCCAAGGTCACAGCCCCGGTGCCTCGGCCGCGAGCACTTGAGAGTTTAAAGAGGCTTTTCTTGCTCGGGAGCGGCGCCCGGGGGGAAGGGGCAGAGGAGGGAGGGAGGGAGGGAGGAAGGGAAGGGAAGGGAGAAGGGGCGGGCGGGGAGAGGCTGGCAGGGCAGGAGCCGGGCGGGGTGCTGGCTCCAACTGGAAAGGAACCGGTCCCAGCCCAGCCGGAGAGGCTGCGGGAGAGCCGGCAGCGCTCCGGGAGAGCACACCGGCCCCGGGACCGGCCCGAGCAGCAGCCGGCGGCCATGGGAGTCAGTCCCGGGGAGCCGGGCAGGGGTCGTGGCTGAGGGAGGGCAGCGGGAGGGACGCGGGGCTGCTCGATGGGGGAGGATCTGCCCCGTCACCTGAGGGAGAGGAGGGCTTGGAGGGGAGGGATAGGAGCGGGTGCATGGAGGGCTGGGGACCTGCAGCCTGGGATGGGGTCGGGAAGGAGAGGATGAAGGCACCGAGTTTTTGGGAAGATGGTGATGCAGGGACAGTTTTTGCACCTGGAAAGGTTTCCTGGAGCCCCAGTCTTGGAGGGCTAGCCCTTAATTCTGAGTTTGTGCTATAGGGTGGGTCTGTGAAGACAGGGAAGATGCCAGAAGGAGAGAAAACAAGGCAATGTAAGCAAGAAGAGGAGCAGCAGCAGAAAGAAGAGAAGCGGGAGGGTCTCATCGAGTTCTACAGTTCCTACCAGGAGCTATTCCAGTTCTTCTGCAGCAACACAACCATCCACGGGGCTATCCGCTTGGTGTGCTCCAAAAAGAACAAGATGAAGACAGCCTTCTGGTCTGTTCTCTTCTTTCTCGCCTTTGGCTTAATGTACTGGCAGTTTGGGATCCTCTACAGGGAGTACTTCAGCTACCCTGTCAACCTCAACCTCAACCTTAACTCCGACAGGCTGACTTTCCCAGCTGTGACGCTGTGTACCCTCAATCCCTACAGGTAAGAAATAGACTGTTCTATCGACAACCCCAGAACTGTTAACCATCTTGATTTTTGCAGGCATAGGATAAAAGCAGGTACTCCTCCTGTTCTTCTCATGGTCCTAGACTGTCCCCTTCTATAGCATTGCCAGTGGAAAGGACACTTTACTGCTGCAGGGCTTTCACAGTAAGGCATGTTACTTTAGGCAACTATTTGGTGGTGTATGTTAGCAAGCTGCCCTGTAAACTGCCACAAGGCAAAAGCAGATGTGTTTACTTCTCTCCTACAAGAACGGTAGCCTCCAGCAAGGGCTTGGATTTGCAGCCAGTGGCAGGAATATCCTGAATCATCCCAGCAAACTTTGCCGAATGTCTTATTCAGAATTGTTTCTGTGCATCCACCCCTAAGCCTCCCGGCTCCTCTTTCCACTCCCTGTATAGATACAGCGCCATCCGGAAGAAGCTGGATGAGCTGGACCAAATCACCCACCAGACACTGCTAGACCTTTATGACTACAACATGTCTTTGGCACGAAGCGACTGGTCCACGCTGGCCACACGGAAGCGTAGCTCAAGAAGTCTGCTCCATCAGGT